AGGCACATGCCAGCATGGCAGACTCATTTTTTATTTTGTGTTGGAGACAGGGTCTCACTATGTTAACCATGCTGGTCTCAAGCTCTCAGATGCAAGCAATCCTCCTGCCTAGGCCTTCCAAAGTGTCAGGATTATAGGGGTGAGCCACCTTGCACAGCGGGGATTTTAGATAGGAGTCCAGATTTGTGTAGAACAAAGAAAAGAATCTGGGAGAGTCCCGGACCAAATCTAACTATGTAAAGGCCATGTTGACTAATTTTATTTAACTTCCTGACAACCCAGGAATCGGTATTCTGCTAGTTATTCTCCATCTATGCTTTGATTTTCTTATCTTTTTGCTTTGTTTTTCTTTTCTTTTCATTTTGTTTTTAAATAAGTTTCTCCTAATCATAATTCTCATTGTAGAGAATTTAGAAATTACATAAAGGATAAAAAACAAAATTTAAATTATCTGTAATCTCAACTTCCAGAGATAATTATACTGTTATCTATTTTCTATATGTATTTTACTACTATAGATTAATTAATCTGTTAATACCACTAATACCAATTAATACCATTCACCATAAAGTGGTTTATATTCTGCTTTTTTTTTCACTTAGCAATTGATTATAAGCATATTTATTTATTTATGTCTTTAGATAGAGTCTCTGTTGCCCAGGCTGGACCACGTTGGCCAGGCTGGTCTCAAACTCAAGTGATCCGCCCACCTTGGCCTCCCAAAGTGCTGGGATTGCAGGCGTCAGCCACTGTGCCCAGCATTTCTGATATCAACAACTATGCTTTAAAATTGGACATTTTCACATATCTTACTGTTTGAGCACAGCTTGGGCAGTATATGCCAGTCCTGTCTTGAAAGTGGAAATTTCTTGTTATTTGCGCTAGTTGGTCAGTCTCTTAAACAGACCTGGTTTTTTGTTTTCAAGGACTCCATTTCCTGGATGAACTTGTCTGTTAGCTCCTTAATCTTCTCAGAATAGTTCATGTCCTTTAGTCGGAGTTGATACTCATTCTCCATTTTTAATTCCTCCACACGAGTCTTTAGCTCCAACATAACCTGAGCCTTTGGGAGAAGGACAGAGAATCAAGAACACTGACAGTGAGGGTGAATCAGAATATTTAAACCTGCGGCCTTGACCTGAGACCTGCAGCTCTGCCTAGCTTCAAACTCAATGTGTCTCAACTGGAACCTGTCATCTTTTCCCCAGAAGACACACCGGCTAAAAACGAGGAGACATGTGAGCTTCCTCCTCTATGCTCAAAAAGTTCTTACTACATTGTGCTAGTAATGCTCTCATCTCTTTCAAGTCGGCCTAAACGTCTCCTGCTTGATGAGGCTGACTTGGACCACATTGTTTAATTCTGCAACCCCTTCCCATTTCCAGGACCCATCACCTTTCTTACTCTGCTCTACTTCTTCTTATTTCCTTAGATCTTGCACTTTCTATAATTTACTTATTATTTTATTATTTTTATTCTTCTTTCCCCATTAGAACTTGCTCCACATAGACCAGAATCTTTGTAGGGTTTGTTTGCTGATATATCCCAAGTACTGGAACAGTGTCTAACACAGAGTAGGATCTCAGAAGATATTTACTAAAGCATGACTCCTGTCCCCATAGAACTTAGAGTCTACTGAGGCAGCCAGATAAACACATTATTACAAATCGTGGTAAGTGCCCAAAGCTGGGTCCCTCTTGATGTCTTCTTAGACTCACTTTTATTACTTTAAATCCTAACTCTTCTGTCTTGCTGGGTTTTATGCCTAGTAAGTATCTTCTTATACTTCCTTTCTTCTTTCTTTTTTTTTTAAGACTTGGTTTCACTCTGTCACCCAGGCTGGAGTGCAGTGGTGTGATTACAGCTCACTGTAGCCTTGACCTCCTGGGCTCAAGTGATCCTCCCACCTCAGCCTGCCAAGTAGCAGGATGCCCCACCACACCTGGTTAATTTTTATATTTTGCGTAGAGATGGGGGTCTCACTATGTTGCCCGGGCTGGTCTCAAACTCCTGGGCTCAAGCAATCCTTCTGCCTCAGCCTCCCAAAGTGCTGGGATTACAGGCCTGAGCCACTGCACCCGGCCTAGTGTCTTCTCCCATCATACTCACTGATGCCAAAGTTTTCTAAAAATACTATAATACACACACCCTTCATTTCCTTAAAAAGTTAATGTCGATGACAAGAGTGGGTCAGAATGCAGTGTTTTCTTCTTGCTTACCTACGGGGAGACCCCGTGCATCCCTATCTCACCATTTCTGGTCTGTCTCCTCTACCACCTGTGAAAGACTTGATAACAAGGAACTGAATTACACACATTTCTGCATTTCTGGCCAGCAGACTAGTGAGGATCTGGTGCACAGGAAGTACTGAGATGAAGGATAAGCACAAATTGCACGTGCAAAGTCAGAGAAGAGGGAGCAGGAATGCCTGGCCAGGGCACTCACTGCATGTGACATGGCACAGGTGGGATGCACAGGAAAGGGCAGCCAAGACTGCGTCAGACCATCAGGGGTCTGGTAGGCCATGCTAGGAAGTTTGGATTTCATCCTAGAGGGCTTCCAAAGGTCCTCATCAAAGCTGATCAGTCTGACTTTGGTGTTATAAAGATCTCTCCGATGGCGGTATGCAGCACGGACTAGATTAAGGAAGGACCAAAAGCAGGATGATGAGTTGCTGGGGTGGGTGGGGTGCAACTGCATAGACTAGGTGAGAGACGGACAGGGTTTGGACTGAGGTAGGGGAGGGGACTGGAGAGGAATGGAGAGGTTGGAGAGAGTGAGTTTAGAGAGGGTAGTGCCTGATTGGGTGTGGGGTGGAGAGGTAAGGATCATGGATGAAGGCTGTCTCCTAGGTAGAAGGGCCGGTACCTGAGGGTGGGGCTTGGACTGTCTTGCTTCACCGCTTTATCCCCAGAACCTAGCATAAAACTAGCAACACGGTCAGCACTGAATGAATACTTATCAATGACCCCAGGCGTCTGCCCTGGCTAGTGGGATATATTTATCCATGGGAATGACCCGGCCTTTGACATGTGTTTGAGGTCCTTGTTCAGCGTCCCTCCTTCATCTGTTCTCCACGTTGCTGCAGAGTAATCTCTGAGATGCAAAACATATTAAGTCATTCCCTAGCTTAAATTTATGAACGGTCCTTATGAACAATGTGCAGCCTAATGCGTAAAAGGCCCCCCTGACCTGTTTCTCTCCAGCTTCATCTTCAGCCCTTCTCTCTGGCACACCCTAACTAGGAGCAGCTTTGCAGATCACCACTCCCTCATCCCTCTGCACACACTCACTGCTCATTGCTCAGTGGCCCTTGTCCATTTGTTCTGGAAGGCTCTGAGCAAGGCTCATGTCCTCTGGCACCACCTGGCCTGAGCCAAGTTCCTTCCCCTGTGTTCCCACAGCATCGTTCTTTCATGATACTTCCTTTCGCTGCACGTTTAATTCCCTTCTTTATGATACTCTGCCCTCTTCCCAGGCTATCAGCTAAAGGATGCTCCGTGTCTTTTATCTCTATAATCCCAGACCTTAGTATAGTGTCAGGTACACAGCAGACCCCTCTGGAAATCCTAGGCAGAGAAGGTAAATCATGGCCTGAGAGTTACATAGACTATAACAGAATATAAAGAGAGCTGGGAATTCCGGGAACATGCTTTTTAAGGGCCAGGCGGAGGATGAGCCAGGACAGGAGTGGGGAGGAGGAGTCAGAAAGGTTTACAGGGAACAGAGTGTGGTCACATGGATGGTAAGACAGAAGGGAGTTTCAAGAAGGAGTGGTACATGCATGAGTCATTTCCAGCCTGGCAGTGGTACTGTCAGGTCCATCTGGGGGCTGTGGTCAGAAGTCAGCTTGGGCACCTTCAGGCCTTTGGTTTAGCCTGCTGTCTCCTATTTGGCCTCTTCCGCTACCCTCTGGGAAGAACAGAAAAGATAACAGAGAAAAGGAGGGGTTCCTTCTGCAGCAGGTCAGGCCCCCACTCTCACGGGGCCCTCCCTCATCCTCTTCTCCCTCTTCGCTTTTCCTGCAGAAAATTCTAGGGAGCTCTAGAAGGGATCTCCAGCAAACACCAGAGGCTTGTCACCCTGCTTTGTGGCAGTGTTGCATTGCTGCTCTGATGGCTTTACTTGTTTCTATCCCTCACCTGACTGAACTTCCTGGTCATGTCACAGGGCCCATACCTGTCTTTTCACACATGCATCCCCAGTGCCTAGCAAATGGTAGGTATTCAATAAACACAGTTAAGATTCTGGGCAAACAGCAATGACTGTGTAGTTCTGTGATCCTCCATGAGCTTTGTGTGTTTATCATCCATTCAGCTTCTCCCTTAGGGAGCATAGCACAGAGCTATGCACTCACATCTCCACAAAACGCACCTTTATGAAATGTTTACTGCATCATCAGGAAGGAAGGGATGCTCCTTTGGTATGGTGATTAAAGGAGGGGGCTCTAGATTAAATCTGGATTAGAACTCTGGTCCTATTAATTATTAGCACACTGACTTTGGACACGTCCCTCAAGCCCTCCTAATTTGTTTTTTGAAACATGGGGAGAATGACAGTATCTTCTTCATAGAGATGTTGTGACATTTAAATGAGAATATACTTTACTTTTGTAAATATTTATTGATTGTCTTCCATGTGCCCAGCATGTGCTAGAAACTGTTGGTCATAAGAGAACTGTATGTTTCATTGTTCTTGGTTTCAAAGAGTAGGAAGAGGAAAACCAGATCACAGAATAAAAGCAAAGCACAGTGTAAGTCAAGATGATCACATGGCAGAAAGACAGGCAGAGTAGGGTGGACAGTGGCAGTGAGGAGGAGAGCTTGGTTGTGTGGACAGCGCATGTGCAGGGAGCCGTGGGGGTCTGCACTGGGCACAGGGTGTAGCCAGCCTGTAGAGGGCCCTGGTGCTGGACCCGCATTTGAATGCAGTCTGGTAAGGAATTCCATGTCCCTCTTCATTAGATCCAGTTCTTACCTTTTCTTCCATGTCTGTTTTAGTCACAAGCACCTCTTCGGCAAAGCCCACCTCCCTCTCTCGCTTGATTCCCCGGCCATCCTTATCAAAGACCTTCCAGGTGAACAGGCAGCCATCCTCAGCAGCAGTCAGCAGGAATTGATCATCAAAGGTAAGCAACATCTGAAGAGAAAAAGGTCATGCCCAGGAAGCTTTCAAGGCCACAGATGACCAGGGCTGCGCCAGCTGTTGTACAAGGCTTCCCCCCATGCAATCCTGGACACAGCCTCACAGTGGGGTAAACTAGATCCCAGGTAAGAATGAGACAGGAGCCCTCACAGGCATCTGTTAATGAATAGAAAAAGCAAGGTTATGTCTACATTCCCTGTGGATTTGGAATCTGAAGAGTCAGCTATTATCTAGAATAGATAAGGAACTCTCAAAAACTCAACAGTAAAAAAGCCAAACAATTCAATCAGAAAGCAGACAAAAGATATGGAGACATTTCACCAGGGAAAATATACAGATGGCAAGTAAGCACATGAAGAGATGTTCTACATTATTAGCCATTTAGGAAAATGCAAAATTAGGACCATGATGAGGTATCACTCCACACCCATTAGAACAGCTAAAATAAAAAAACAGTCACAACACCAAGTGCTGGCGATGATGCAGAGAAACTGGGTCTCATACATTCTTGGTGGGAATGGAAAATGGTACAGCCACTCTGGAAAATAGCTTGGCAGTTTAAAAAAAAAAAAACTGAATATACATTTACCATATGATTCAGCAATTATACTCCTGGGCATTTATCCCAGAGAAATGAAAACTTATTTCCACACAAAAGCCTGTATATGACTGGTCACAGCAGCTTTATTTATAATAGCTGAAAATAGGAAAAAATTAAAAATATTCTACAATAGGTGAATGGCTACACAAACTGTGATTTGCTTTTCGTGGAACACTGCTCAGCAATAAAAGGAATAAACTATGATTGATACACAACACAACTTGGATGGATTTGAAGGGGATTAAGCTGAGTGGAAAAAGTCACAATCAGGACATTAAGCTAAAAAGCTTCTGCACAGCAAAGGAAATAATCGACAGAGTGAAGAGACAACCTGTCAAATGGGAGAAAATATTTGCAAACTATTACTCTGACAAAAGACCAATATCCAGAATACACAAAGAACTCAAAAAACTCAACATTAAACAAACAAAAAAATCTAAAAATCTCGTTAAAAAGTCAGCTAAGGGGCAGGCGCGGTGGTTTACACCTGTTATCGCGGCACGGTGGGAGGCCGAGGCGGGTGGATCACCTGAGGTCAGGAGTTTGAGACCAGCTTGGCCAACATGGTGCAACCTCATCCCTACTAAAAATATAAAAATTAGCTGGGCGTGGTGACAGGCACCTGTAATCCCAGCTACTTGGGAGGCTGAGGCAGGAGAATCTCTTGAACCTAGGGGTGGGACGTTGCAGTGAGCTGAGAGCGCACCATTGCATTCCAGCCTGGGCGACAAGAGTGAGACTCTGTCTCCAAAAAAAAAAAAAAGAAAAGAAAAGAAAAGAAAAAAAAAGTGGGCTAAGGACATGAACAGACATTTCTCAAGAAGACATACAAATGGCCAGCAAGCATATGAAAAAATGCTCAACATCACTAATCATCAGGGAAATGCAAATCAAAACCACAATGAGATACCATCTTACCCCAGTTACAGTAGGTATTATTAAAAAGACAACAAATACAACATATAACAGATGCTGGCAAGAATGTGGAGAGAAGAGAACTCTTATACACTGTTGGTGGGAAGGTAAATTAGTACAACCACTATGGAAAACAGTATGTAGACTTCTCAAAAAAACTAAAAATAGAACTACCATCCAATCCTGCAATCTCATTACTGGGTATTTATCTAAAGGAAAGGAAATCAGTATATTGAAAGGATACCTGCACCCCACCCCCCATATTTATTGTACCACTATTTACAATAGCAAAGATATGGAATCAATCTAAGTGTCCATCAGTGGATGAATGAATAAAGAAAATGTGGTATATATACCCACTGAAATACTATTTGGCCATAAAAATGAATGAAATCATGTTTTTGCAGCAACATGGATGGAACTGGAGGTCATGAAGTTAAGTGAAGTATGTCAGGCACAGAAAAACAAATATTATATGTTCTCATTCATATGTGAGAGCTAAAAAATGTTGACCCTAGCTGGGCGTGATGGCATGTGCCTGTAATCCCAGCTACTTGGGAGGCTGAGGTGGAAAAATCGCTTGAACCCAGGAGGCGGTGGTTGCAGTGAGCTGAGATCATGCCATTGCACTCCAGCCTGGGCGACAGAGTGAGACTCTGTCTCAAAAAAAAAAAAAAAAAAAAAAAAAAAAAAATGTTGACCTCATGGAGGTAGAGAGTGGCATGACGGATACTAGGGAAAAGTGTATGGGTGGGTGGGGTGATAAAGATTGGTTAACAGATACAAACATTAGATAGAAGAAATCAGTTTTCTTTTCTTTCTTTCTTTTTTTGAGACAGAGTCTTGTTGTGTTGCCCAGGCTAAGAGTGCAGTGGCATGATCTCCCGGCTCACTGCAACCTCTGCTTCTCAGGTTCAAGCAATTCTCCTGCCTCAGCCTCTTGTGTAGCTGGGATTACAGGCATGCACCACCATGCCTGGCTAATGTTTTGTATTTTTAGTGGAGATGGGGGTTTCACCATGTTGGCCAGACTAGTCTCAAATTCCTGACTTCAAGTGATCTGGCTGCCTTGGCTTTCCAAAGTGTTGGGATTACAGGCATGACACACGTGCCAGGTTGAAGAAGAAATAAGTTCTAATGTTTGATAGCAGAGTAAGGTGACTATAGTTAACAACAATGTATTGTATATTTTTAAATTGCTAGAAGAGAGGACTTGAAATGCTCTCAACACACAGAAATCATAAATACGTGAGGTGGATGGAAACCCTAAATATCCTGACCTGATCATTACACGCTCTATGCCTGTAACAAAATATCACATGTACTTCATAAATATGTACAGATATTATGTATCAATAAAAAAGCCATTTTGAGAAGGCCACATACAGTATAATAGCATATGCAATTCTCAAAATGACAAAAGTTATGGAAATAAGAACGAATTAGTGGTTGCCAGGGATTAGGGATGATAGTCGAGAGGAGTGGTATGACTCTAAAGGGTAGATGGACATCTCTGTGGGGATGGAACGGTTCTATATTGTGATTGTAGTGGTGGTTACACAAACTGCATGTGAGAAATAATTCAGAAATACATATACAGCGTGGACCAGTGTCAATTTTCTGGTTTGATATTTTGCCACCGTTCTAGGAGATGTAATGACTGGGGGAAACTGAGTGAGAGGTACATGGGAACTCTGTGCCATCTTTAAAATTTCCTCTAAACTTATAAGTATTTCAATATAAACAGTTAAAACAAAAGAGTGAACTATGAAAAATGTCTTCTCACAATCAGCAGTATGTGTCAAGAACTTTGAGAATGGCAATACTCTTGAATTCAGGAATTCTCTCTCCAGGAATTTAGTCTTAGGAGAGAATCAGAGATGCAAATATAAATTTGTAAACTGCGCTATTCACTATAGATCATAAGATAATTTCAATGCCTAATTGCAAGAGAAGAGTTAGTAAGTTACAGTCCATCATAGGATAGGATATTTGTGTAGCTACTAAAGTCATGCTTCTGAGAAATATTTAATTGTATGGACAAACGCTTACAGTAGTGTGAAGTTAAAAACAAGCGGGTCACGAGAGTGGCCTCACAGTATGATCTTAATTTTATTTAAAACACACACACATGGAAATGTAGAAGGAAATGCATGAAAGAAATGATGATGCTATTATAAGGATTTTTTTGTTTGTTTGTTTTTTTGAGACAGAGTCTCGCTCTGTTGCCGAGGCTGGAGTGCAGTGGCGCCATCTCAGCTCACTGCAACCTCTGCCTCCTGGGTTCAAGTGATTATCCTGCCTCAGCCTCCTGAATAGCTGGGACTACAGGCGCCCGCCACCACGCCCGGCTAATTTTTTGTATTTTTAGTAGAGATGGGGTTTCACCGTGTCAGCCAGGATGGTCTCAATCTCCTGACCTCATCATCTGCCCGCCTTGGGCTTCCAAAGTGCTAGGATTACGGGTGTGAGCCACTGCGCCCAGCAAGGATTTTTATTTTAAAAATAAACATGCATTGCTTCTATAATCAGAAAAATAAATTCCTTATCCACAAAACTTAGCAGATCTGAAGGGAAGATGGGGAATATGTTGTAGTAATTTACTTTAGACCCAAGGCCCAGGCTTGGTACAGAAAATGTTCTGTTTCATAATGAGAAACCTTTTCTTAATACAGCTAATGTTGCAGGTAAGCCACTATGGAGTTTGAGACACAATTCAAAACCTCAGGTGCTATGTCATTCAACCTGCAGAAAGCGAGAGTAAGGAAGAGGAGACACACACCTTCCCAGTGCCTGTTTTTCAGGGGGTCAGTGTAGGTACAGACATTGCTTTTTTTTTTTTGCACTATGAATAACCTTGTATTTACTATTGACTATGATTTCTTGGCAACCATTTCGCATGCAAGATAATTCTTTTTAATTTCATTTTTAAAATTGTGGTAAAATACATATTCTGTAAAATTTGCTATCTTAACCATTTTCAAGTGTACAGTTTGTGTTATTAAATACATTTGTAATGTTGTGCAACCATCGCCACCAACCACCCCCATAACCCTTTTGTCTTGTAAAACCAAAACTCTATACCTATGAAACCATCACTCCCCATTCCCTGTGCCACAGCCCCTGCCAACCACCACTCTGTCTTTGTGATTCTGACTGCTCTAAGTATCTCCTAAAAGTGGAATCACACTGTATTTATCTTTTTGTGGTTGGCCTTATTTAATTTAGCATAACATCCTCAAGGTTCATCCATGTGGTGGCACTTTGCAGAATTCCCTTCCTTTTTAGGCGGGATACTGTTCCATTGTACAGATATACCATCTTTTGCTTATGCATTTGTCTGTCGGTGGACACTTGGTTGCTTCCACGTTTTGACTGTTGAACACAGACACTACTTTATGAGAAGGGTGAATGGAAGGACAATTTACAAATGTGTACTCATGATATTGCCCCTGGGGTGGCCTTTT